CACTCACTCCTCAATGCCTGGTGTCTCACTTTGTCTAGAAGTAGAAATAGTCACACTTTGCTATGAGAAACCGCAAAAGAAGAAGGAAAAAAAAACTCTTCTGCTTTACGGGGTGAAGTTCCTACTTTGAAAAGCCAAGTGTATGAATGCACAGCATTCTCATCCCTTAAACGTCTTGGAACAACTCCCACTGGACAGACCAAGCTCATGTCCCTGATTAGAGGCTGTCAGACCAAACTTCCGAAAGCGGTCATCGCTTCTTCCTTCCTGCACCCCGAGACTTGCCCTGCAACAGCCAGAGAGAACAGGTCAAGAGGGCTCCTAAGGGACCTTGCCCCACCACATCTTTCTGCATCTGGTGCACACTTCCCTCTGCTCTAACCCCCATCCCACCCCCTGGTTTTTGCTCAAAGCGCTTAACAATGAACATTTTATCTGTGCTGACTGCACCAGGCCTCTGCTGAGCACTTATCGATACAATTAGATTAACTCTCAAATCTTACCACCCCACTGTCTGTACTTGAAACCACAACACTAGCTCATGCAGTTCAGTGTGACTTGTTAAGTCTTTCCGCTTTCCCTAAATTCCGATTGAACATCCAGGAAGGACCTAGGTTACATTCGCTTTTTTTTTTTAATTGAAGTAGAGTCAGTTTACAATGTTGTGTTAAATTCTGGTGTACAGCACAGTGATTCATTTATACATATATATATATTCCTTTTCATATTCTTTCTCATTATAGCCCATTACAAGGTATTAAATATAGTTCCTTGTGCTATACAGTAGGACCTTGTGATCTCTTTTGTATATAGTAGTTAGTATCTGCAAATCCTGAACTCCCAATTTGTTTCTTCCCATCCCATTTTCCCCGGTAACCGTAAGTTTGTTTTCTATGTGAATCTATCTCTGTTTTGTAAATAAGTTCTTCTTTTTTTAAGGTTCCACATATAAGTCATGTCATATGGTATTTTTCTTTCTCTTTCTGGCTGACTTCACTTAGTATGACAATCTCCAGGAGGTTCGTATTTCTATCTCATGTAAACAAACTGGTACCCATACCTCCCTAGCCAGACTCAAGTTCCATCTCCAAGGAGCTCTCTCTTTCATTGCACCCTTCCTGTAATTACAACACTTACTGCCTTGTCTGCTGGTTGTCCTGCGTGTAGCCCCTGCATCTGAGAACCAGGAAGGATTTACGGATTGGAAATAACTTATTTCTGGCCGAGACCATCCATTTTTAAATTGTCATCATTGTTAGAAGTTAACTTCCCTAGGGCCAAGTCATGGATGTGTTGCAGATGGGAACAGATAATAGGGAGGGAACAGCGACCCCACAGAGTGAACATAAACCAACTTACTGATGAGTTCAAACTGGAGATCCAGAAAGAGGAGGATGGAGATGGGGGAGGGGGAATAATTTAGGGAAAGCTTCAGGAGGAAGGCAAAGTATGAGAAGCAGAGGCAGGCCAGTACAGAGCCTGGACTAGCGGAGGTATTTTATCCTGTTAGCCTTTACAGATGAGACCAATTGTTAAGGTGATATTCCTGCAGTGCGTACAACCAGCGACATCTGCGAGGCAAAGGCCACTGCAAAATAGCAGGTGACTTCCCTGTTGTTAAATGTGGACCTGGACGTTTCTCTTGGGTGCAGCTCTCCTCTCCTGCTTTCTTCTGGCTCCACCAGCTCCTCTGTGCTGGTGGCCAAGAGCCATGGAGCATCTCAGAAGAGGAAGATGCAAGTACTGTGGAGCTAAGGCTGAGGCTTATGTTTCCAGAGTAGGAATCTATTAAACCTAAATTCCATGCATCCATAGATTCCATTATATTGAGGTGTAATGATGTTATGGTTGTGTTTTAAAAAGTCCTTACCTCTGAGAGATAGATACTGAAATACTTACAGATAAAATTTGAGATTCACTTCAAAATAACTCAAGAAAGGGGGTAGCAGATAGAAGTATAGATAGATCAATATTGGGTGTGAGTTGGAAATTGAAGAGTCTGAGTAAAGGGTCCACAGGGATTCATGGTATTGTACTGTTGATATTGGATTTTAAAAAAAAACAGCTTTAAGATATAATTCACATACCACAAAACTCAGCCTTTTAAAGAGTACAATTCAGTGTTTTTTAGTATATTCAGAGCTGTTCAACCATCATCACTAATTCCAGAACGTTTTCATCACCCCAGTGTGCCCATCAGCCATCACTCCTTGCTCCCCTCTCCCCCAGCCCCCAGCAACCATGGTTTCTACTGTATCATGGACTTTTGTGTACACTTAAAAAAAGTAAAAAGAAAGGATGGACAAACTTGCTCAAGATCACACAGTGCTGAACAGAGAGCGAATCTGAACCCAAATCTCTTGGAAAAGAGAACAGAGAAATCTCCCACCAACTCAAGTTTGACATTTCCCATTGCCTTGGCAAACTCCAGACCACTCCGGAAGGGCTGACCTTGAAGGTCCCAATACAGATTAGAACGCTGTAATTTGCATGTTTTTTTTTTTAAAGGAAAACAACCAAAACCAAAACACAAGACACAAAAGTTATAGGATTTGGCCCTAAAATGATATACTCACCCCTACATATTTACTATAGTATTTTGTGAATAAGGGGCTTGACTTCTCATCTATCTAATCCTGCTATGATTTTATCTGAATGAAAGGGTGTAGACATTTTGCTGCAATTCATTTATATTTACTTCTTAAGGCAAGTGAGTCTTTTCCATACGCAAATATCGCAAGTTGATTATTCTAGGAAATTGGGTAGTTTTCGCAATATCCCGCAGGGGAAAAGTTGAAACAGCTAGAATTCAAGAGAACCAAGTTAGGGAGCCTCTACTAACGTAATTTCACACCCTTCTCTTGAAAAATGTGCCACTCAGAACAGTACTTTGGATTAATTTTCCTTTCAGAACCTAGTGGATCTTATCTGATCACTTCCGTATCTGAAGGCAGATTGCTTTTGTATACCAAACCATTTTTGGCGTGCTTTAGTATTACACTGTTTTCATGTGGATTTTCAGCCGTCCAGTTCCTTAAGTGGTGGAATTCAAACCCTGGGTACTCAGTACCTGACTTACTAGAACACAGCGGAACAACAGACTCAGAATGTCCCAGCAGTAAGAGCCTGGCAGGAAACTTCTGACTGCGCTGCTTTAAGATCATCTGACTATCTGGCAGATTTTAACCTCATGAAGATAACTCAAAAATAGCTCCTTTGGTCACAACAGAATTTCATAGATTGCCAACAAATTCATCCAAATACCCCGATGCAGGAATGATACAGGAAGGACAGGGATTCTGCAGCTTCTATGATCATCAGTGACAACTCAGCTTAATAGCCTGGATTTTGATCCCGAGGTTGAGAGGGAAAAAGATTCAGAACAAGACGGGAAAAAAAAAAAAAAAGACACAAACGTGACGGTGGAGAGGGGCCACAAAGCTGGAGGGAACAGCTGAACGTTAACAGGGAGAATAAGAAAAACCGGGCATAAAATGATGCCACCGGCCAGTAGTCGTTGTGGGGTGAGCAGCCAGGAAGGGAAGGGTCAATTGTCCAGGAAATGACTGGGAAAGGGGCTTCATAGATGAAAACACCCACCAAAGTTGTAGGAAGGCAGAGATAAAACCTCCAGAAAAAGGGCAAAAGCAAGAGGTACGGAAAGCTACAGAAATGTGGACTGTTTTCTAAACCTTTGTTGTCGCTCATACCTGCTTTGTTACTTCTGAAGTCTTGATCCTTGGTCCCATTTTAGCTACTGATTTAGCTTTTCAAACATATCCTATATACATATTGTGCATCTGATAATCCCGCTGAGCCTGACTCTTGTTTCTCATCATGGGGGCTGTTCTGTACACTCCCTTGTGAACACGTGGTTCTTAGTGTTTTCCCTAGGAGCTAACAACTGAGGTCTGGTGCTGAGGCGTGTTCTTCCTGTAGAGAATTGGTGCTGGCTCCTGTCTGGCACTTGTGGCCACTACCAACAGGAGTTGCTTTAAATTCTCTGCTTACTTTCCTCCAAACCACAAAGGTAGTGCGAATTGGCTCAGGCTTGCTCGGGGAACCACCAGCTTGTGGGTGGGATTCTTGGAGAAGCCCTCCCCTGCGCCAGCACCTCAGACCTGTCCCCGCAAACCTCAGCCAGAGCTGCCAGGCAGGAGCCAGGGTGGGGTTGTTGTCAGGTTCACCCTTTTGCTGAACGGGGCATCTTTTTGCATTCTGGGTTTTCTCTCTGGGTCTTGATCAAAGGTCCCACCCAGTGAAGACTCAGAGCTCAGAAACCATGAAGCTACAAGGGATTGCAAAGGTCCTTGGAACAACTGGTCCTCTGTCACTGTTCATCCTCCTGACTTGTGCTTTGTGGTTGTCTTTGCCTCAGGAATTCCCTCACGTTCTTGCTAGCTCAGCTATCTAGTGATTAAAAAGATTCTATCTGGGTTTGTACTGAGAGGATTCTCAGAGTATCTGGCCTTTCAGAAGCAGAAATCCCCCCGCCCCCAAAAGTAAATGTCTTACCCCTCTTCCCCAAATCTGTTCATATCACGTTTTTTTTTTTAAAAAAAAAAAGAGCACCACTGATTCAAGTGTATGTTGGGGATGATTTTGACTAAGCCCTTTAATCAGAAAAGGAAGCTGCAGCCCGGAAAAGACGTGTCTTACTACCTACCAAGTCAGTAACAGCTGAGACTAGACTCCTCTGTTACTGCCTTTCCTATGGGAAACCAAAGTTTAAGGCAAAAGGTAGATTTCTCTGAATGATCTGAAGAAACGGAATTTTACTCAAAACTTTAAATTCATAGAGGAGAAGAGCAAAGATACACAGCTAAAGGTGATCAAGATACAAAAATCTGGCTTCAGAACAAAGCACTAAAGAAACAGTATAAAAAGTACCAGCCCGAAGTAGTAATTGCTATTTGAGAGCTTATGTTCAAAAACAGGAACATTCAAGGCAAGATGCAAAAAAAAAAAAAAAAAAAAAAGGAACTAGCTTTAAATGATCATTATATACAAAAAGTTTATTTGAGAAATCATGTATCTTTAAAAAATAACACAGAAGTTATAAGCTCTTATCCTGACTGCAGACCATTCACCATCTGAACGTCAGGGTGTTATGTAGTATAATCAGTGATGCACAGACATCAAGTCCACGTGATATCCCTGGCATTTACACCAGTTTGAAACATTAATGTGATTTTTAAAAGAAAAAAATTTTTTTAAAGATCTATTTTGGAAACACATAAAAGCATCTTGATCTTGTGAACAGTAGTCCTGAAACTATAGATCCATTGCTGAGACTACTCCAAAACTGGAAAAAGTAGCATTATCATTTTAATTCATGAACAGTTAAAAAGGTCCAACGGAACTTGTGTCAGGAGTGCAGTGCGGTCATTCCAGTGCACATGTCAGAGAGAAGAATGCAGAAAAAGTAACTCTCTGCCTTACAGTTTCACAGGCTGAAAGCAAAAGTCAGAAAAAGTGGGCAGTTTTGGTTGGTAGTTTTGGGGGTAGATTATCCTTGTTCCTACTTAGCAGGTTCCTTTTAGTCTTGGAAAAGTAGCATCTGCAGACAGCCAAGTTCAAATACTGGTGCATCAGAACACAAAGTAAATTTAAACTCACTATGGACCAAAAAATTAGGCTCTTTGGAAATATGAACTAAAACCCTGTGACTTAATATGTTAAGAATGCTTAAAAGGGCTCCATAGACCAAAGAGTTAAAATGATCTTTGAGGGTGATTACCTAATGCAGAACTTTCATGCAATAAACTTTAGAAGACTATAAAAGTCCTATAACATAAAACAATTATTTTAACGTATTTAATATTTTTATCAAATGATCCCAGATTATATTTCTAGGTACTCCTACCCGGATTGAGGTAGTTCTATTTGGGAATAAAGATAAACCAAAGTTTATCTCTGTAAGGGAGGTTCAGGGGCCTCTGACCTAGCCAGAGTCAGATCCAGAGAAACACTGTCGCTGATGAAAAAGTTTCAAGAATAAGAAAACTTGTATCAGTTGGTTAATTGCAAAAATATTCTAAGAATCCAGACGCTGTATGCCTCCATGATGAGAAGTTACAGTTTGTGCTGAAGGGAACTGAAAAATAAGATTTAAAATTATATAAGAACAAAGTCAGTCAATAGTAGTCATTTGTGAAGATGAGCAATACCTCAGAGCAGTAGCTCCATCACCTAATTTTGATGAGACTGGACATATGTTCAATATGCTTCCCATCAAATGGTAATAATCTCGTCAGAAATGCACTTGCTGAAGACAGGCATTTTAGGTCCTGAAAGGAAAACGTGGGAGGTGTGATGAGCCGTATCTCCTAAAAATCTTCAGGAAAACCCAGCCCTTAATTTTACTAAAGTGAAAAACGTATTAACACTAAGGTTGCAGATCTGAGCTTTATTATCAGAATGATGTCATTTGAGGATAGAACTGATAGGTTTTCTAAAATGGTTTTAATATAGCATACAACTCCTGACTCCCAGAGCCATATGCCTACTTATCTGCAAAATGTGTTTTGAAAAGAAATACACAAGCAGGATGCAGAACGGGCACAAAAGCGGACAAAATATCCAAACAAAAATTCCTCGGGACAGATCCACTTGAGATCTAGAAAGCACTTTAATACCCTATCCCTCTTCAAATGATCAAGAGATTCAAGAGAAATAGCAAGTCCTGTATTTACAAAACCGATGAAAATCACACTGTAATAATCAGTGAATGCAGAACAACTGCACAGATCTGCGTTTCCAACTTTTTCCACCATGATTCCCCATCAAGGTAAAAAAAGGTTCTTTTGCACAAATCCGAGAAGGATGCAGAGGTGGCCGCACAACTGCCCGAGATGGTACTATGACTTACTACCGAGGCTGGGGACGGGGCCCGAGGGGAAGGAGGGGCAGGGTCCTCGAGAAAAGAACCCTGTTCACGGCAAGCAGTTCTAGTCCGTGGTTGACCTCCGGTACCAAAACCGTGCTCTGAAGTCGTCGCTGCACGTCATGAACCCGGGGTTGGTGGGCGAGTGCACGATGCAGCGCACGATGTTGTTGTGGCCCAGGGAGAGCAGGTTCCGGCGCTCGGCCGTCCGCGAGTCCCAGCAGCACAGACTGATGGTCCTCTCGTCGGGCAGCAGCACGTAGTCCTCCGTGTGGTTGAAGACAGCCTGCGTCCGGTGCACCTGCCGCCCGCTCAAGCCAGCGCCTGCACGGAGACCGAGAGGGAAGGGCCTGGGCGTCAGGGCCGGCTCTCCAAGTCCGAGTCTGCACCTTAGACTCCCCACACTGCTCTACTTTTGTTATTAGTCTGTTGATGATAAAACTGTACTTTCCAATTGTTGAAGTAATACACTTATTGTGCAATTTTGGAAACTATAGAGTATGAAAAGGAAAATCACTTCTGAGCCCATTACCTAATGCAACTCTGTTAATGTTCTGATGTATTTCTAGGCATAAAAACACCTTTAAAAAAGGTTGCCACACTCTGTCTGCTCTATCATAGTTTAAACCAACTTCATGTTGGGTATATTCTTCCCTGTTTTTATTGGCTGCAAAGTATCCCACTATTTGGAAGCACCACTGGTAATTCTTTCCTGCTACACACTGAGCTGGTATCAAATTGTAACACCGTAATGAACATTCCTTGTACAGTATTTCTTAGGATTAAATTCCTAGAAAGTGTTATACTTTTTTATGACCATGAATACAAAATACATATTTCGTGTTCAAGGTATTATATAAAGTACTAAAAAACCTGCCTGATAATTTTACACCCAGAGTCAACATTTTGATGATTATCTTTTCCAAGTATCTCCATGTGTTGTTGTACGTTCAGTTGCAAATCCTATACATCAGAGCATACATCATATACTTTTCATTCAACAGTATGTTGTGGAAATCTATAAAGAGGGAGTATAGTTTAATGGATAAAGATACAAACTTTGGTGCCAGATTTGGACTTGGTACTAAGTGATGCGACCTTGAACAAATTACTTAACATCCCTAGGTGTTAATTTTCTCCTCTGTTTTGTAAGCATAATTACATCACCTGCCTAGAAGATGGTGTGGGGATGAAAATGTGGTGTAATGCCCATCCAGTTCTGCAGTGTGTGTGTTTGACAAATATTACTATGAATTCATATTTTTAAAGGCTGCATGCTGTGAAAGGACACATAAAAACTTAGTGCTTTTTGGTGGACATTTGTCTCTACTCCAGTTAATGTTGGGATGGATACCTTTTTGTGTGTGTATGTACATGTTTGCCCAAGAATCTTTTGAAGGTTGAATTCCTAAGAGTGGATACAGTAGGTCAAAAATATGTATGTGTAAAATTTTGATCTATGACATGAAACTGCCCTTCAGAAATATTTTAACAACTGACAGTTCTAACAATATGATTTCCTGAAATATTTATTAATACTAGATAATATCAATCTTTTAAATTCTGGAAATCTGATGAGCAAAAAAGATACTCCCATTTTCATTTTAGGTTTATAGTGAAGTTTTCTTGCGTTCACTGACCAATGTCTGACATATGTTTACTGTATACGCTATGAGCATGTTTTCCCTAATCTAGAATTTTAATTTTGTTTATAGTGTTTTAAATTTTTTTTAAATGGAGGTACTAGTGACTGAACCCACTCTACCACTAAACTGTACCCCCCACCTCCCTTAAATTAACTTTTAACATCAAAATTTCTAACATTTATTTGATAGTTTTTCCTTTCCCTTCATGATTTCACTGAATTCTAACTAAAGCTTAAAACTGGAAATGCAGATCTAAATGTGCTGATATGAAGGAGTCACACTGAATTAGAAGAAAAGGGAATTTGCAAATAAATTCAGTATAATCTCATTTAAAAACCAAATCCCAATTCTCCAGCAAAACAAACCAATTAGTCACATTTAACCATAAAATATCCCATTTAAAAAAGCAAAAATGACTCTTCCCAAGACCTGCCAGCTGTGCCATCTACACCAGAAGCCAGAGAGACGGAAGGACGTAAGCTCTGGCTAAAATGAAATAACTCTAGGTAGGTTATGCTGCACCCTAGTGGTTCAGATGCCACTTATTCTGCAATTTTCTTCTTAGCACCCCAGCAGAGCCCTTTACAATATACAAGTGTTATTTTCTTGTGAGTGGGCATGGGCATGGTGATTTTAGTGTATGACACAAACATCTCACAACAGAGGAAACTAGCTGAAGTTTCCTAGAAGTTTCTTACCAAACAGCCTTTGCCACTAAAAGGAAAAGAAGAATGATGATATTTTTTTTTTAGTGGAGGTACTGGAGATTGAACCACGGACTCATGCGTGCTAAGCACGCACTCTGCCACTGAGATATATCACCTCCCCTCAAGAAGATAATTTTAATACTATCAAATTAGACTTGAACACCGACTACTAGTGATACATTTAAATAGATCTCATAAAAAGAGCTCACAGGCACAACTGTTAGAATTAGAGACCAACATGGATTAGAGAATCAGATTAATTTAGTTTTTCTGTCTGAACGGCCCACTTTATATCTAGGTTCAGGACACTCGTGGCCTCTTTTAAGAGCTACTTCTCTCTTAGGAGGGGCCAAGATCTCCCCTCTTAGCCCTTTTTTCCTAATGTGTACACTTACTGAGGCTTTTCTCTGGACTGCTTTCATTTTTTGTGAGACCACCAGATTCTCAAGTGTTACCTGCACGGAATCAGATCTAGTTTCAGCTGTAATGTATTGAGAAGAGCAAAGTTAAGAAATGGTGGTTCTGTTTCCAGCTCTGCCTCTTGTTTGACTTGCATACATTTATTGTGTGGATCTATTTCAAGGATCTAAAAGAGAGCTGCTACAGAAATGTTAAGTAGTATCAATTTCTCACTCACCTGTGTATCTGACCAGCGTTCTCCCTGTTGATATCTCCCAAAGCTTAGCTACAGAGTCTTTTCCACTTGACAGAATGTATTTAGAATTTTTGGAAAAAATGGCAGAACAAACTTCAGCACCGTCATGTGCTTTCTCAAAAGTTGTGATGCATCGATTTGAAACACCATCCCATAATTTGATGCAGCCATCCTTGCTACCAGTCACATACATATTGGCACTAGGATTGTAATTGACGGAACATATGGCATCAGTGTGTTGATCTTGAGGATTGCAAGAGACAAAACACTGAAATGTGTTGATATCATACAGTCGAAGAGTAGGATGCTGAGTCCCAACAAGTATAAAGTCTCCGGAAGGATGGAAAGAGATGGAGCGTAACATTTCAGCCTCCTGTTAGGACAGAGACATTAATGTTAAATGACCAACTGCTGAACAATTAAACCCACAGGAAATGTGGGAGATACTTGGGTGATGCAAAGAATCCATAGAACAATGATCAGATATCATACAGGTAAGAGAAGGAACAAAGGACTTTCTGAAAACATGAAAGTATCATTTGAACAAAGGTTTCCGAAACTATTTACTGGTGAGATTATTCCAAAGGCCACAGAACTGAGCTTCATTATTTGCAAATAAGCAGTGGCTGAACTCAGAAAGGAATATATCATCAACCTATAATACGTTCACATACAATTAATGAATGAAGCTGCTACTAGAACATTAGTCTTTCTGAACTGCATATTCAAATTAGGGCAGCAAATGTCACTTTTCCAGCAAACACCTGATAGTTTCAACTGATTAATTTTTAAAATTTCCGTAAGTTATACTTTAGGGAAATTGGTTGTTTTGTCTTTAAACAGGAATCTGCACCATTAAAGAAGGATATGGGTTCTGAACTGTATCTGTGACCAGCAGTTGTCCTGAGTGGCCAAAGGAAGTGGGTGCATGGCAGCCCCCGGGCTGTGGGCTGTCGGTGGCAGGCGTCCTTGCTGCTGTCCCCTCGTCTTACAGGATGATCACTGACGCTACTTTTAAGAAGAGATACACCATAGCTCATTGTATTTAAGAAAAAAAAAATGCATAAAGCTCCTTTCCAAACATTCCTAACCTGGATGTATTTGAAGGCTCTTTTTGCAGATGGTTTGGAATAATCAAATAATTTAAGAGTATAATCCCTTGAACCAGAGGCCAGGATCTGTTCTGTTGGGTGGAAAGCGAGACATGTGACCTCATCCACGTGGTCATAAAGAGTTCGAATCACTGGGTGGTTTTCCATATTCTGCTGTGCAGTCTCATTCATCATGACCTAGGCCAACAAGAAAAGAAGAGATGCTCAAAGTATGAAATCTGTCTGACTCAAAACACACGATCTACAGCTATGCTAAGTTTAAAGCTAGTTTAAACTGTTCTCTCATTCCTCCAAGAATGAGTAACAAAAGGCAAACAGTAAGTACATGACTGGGGGATTTTTACCTCTATTGGCATGGCGCTTTTGGCCAGCATTCTTTCTGTGTCAAGTATTTTTATGGACGCGTCAGCAGATCCAGTGGCTATTAACTGCCCATCTCTACTATAGGTAGCTACACGGCACGGTCCTTTATGGGATGTGACATAGCATGTTTCATACTCAGAAGCCTCTGGGGACATAGTCTGGACATCTGCATCAAATTCCAGGTCAATTCCTGTGCCAGGGGCAACTGTGTCTGACCGACCAATTGCATACTGAACTGCTGTGTCATCATTTTCCATTCCTGAAAGACATGAACATTAGTGGCATGAAAAAAAAATGCTATTTTAAATGGACAGCGCAAAGTCCTAGATTCAAATTGCGAAAAGTGTTTGTCAATGTCAGCTTACTACTTCTTGGAGCCACATGACACTTATACCATAGAACATTATGTATCCTGACCTGGGTGCACACAGTGACAACACCGTAAGGCGGAATGGGTTGTGGAAGGTTAGGCTCTAATAGTAAAGTCATCTCCCACATATTGGCCTCCAAAATTTTCTACTTTAACCACAACGACAGGAACTCAAAAACGCAGTTCTGTGGTTAAACTGTTTATTTTCCCCCATTCCAGATTTTAGTTTTAGTATTGAGATCTGTTAGTAGCAGCTCCGAAGCTCGTGAAGCCAGATATATTATTATTATTAACACTAGTGAAACATATTTGAAAGAATGCTGAGCTTTAAAGAATCTGAAGTTTATCAAGAATATACATTTTAAATTTAAAAATAACTTGACATATCTTATAAACAATACATTTATTAGTACAGGAAAAATTAGAAATACAGATGAAAAATATAAAAATAGCTTTGCATTTTATCATCCAGAGACAATTACTGTTAAACATGGTGGTAATAAAATAAAAATAAATAAAAATAAAAAAAAATAAAAAAAAATAAAACCACACTATATGGCTTACTTGGTAATTTAATTATGTGGAATGAACATCTGGCCAGCATCATAAAAATTCATCTGTATCATGTTACTGGATCCAATTTTATGGATACAAGGACATTTATAACCAATTCCATATTATTGGGCATTTTAAGGGAATTCATTTTATTTCCTCAAGCAAATTTTTACAATTTACATCACCAAATCGGAGAGTACAAACATGCTTGGGCAGTTCTATATTTTACTTAATGCTTTCTATGACCCAGGCAAGTACTACGATATACTGTTGAACAAGACAAAGTTCAAAACCTTCATTAAACTTGCAGTCTGTTTTGGGGGTGGTATGAATTGTGTGGGAAACAAAACGATAAAGAAAATTTCATATAGCGATTCTGTTATGAAAGAAAAGTGATTGTTGTTTTAGAGCAAGTGAGGAGGTCTGGGGAAGATACTGGGGTTATTTTCAGAAGAGATGAGGAGGACTCTGAGATGACGTTTGAGCTGAGACTTGAAGAAAATCAGTAATACAATGGTAGAAAGTTCCAGATAATGCATATAAAGATCCTGAGGCCAGAACAGCTCGAAACCTTCATAATCTGGATTTTGCTTACTCCTTCAGTAAGTAGCACTGTACTTGACACATATTAGGCAGTAAAGCTAAAGGGCAATAATCTTGAAAAATTCTGATGTGAAAACATCTGAAACCTCGTCATGGGATCCATGAATTCGTGTGGACCAGTTACCTAGTTTGATGAGGTGCAGGAGCTGCTCCGACGGTGCACAGACAGACTGAGGCTTGATTTCGTTGATGAGGCCGTTAGCAATGCTGATGTAGCCGTCATAGAGCAGCTGGCTAATGATCAGCTTGTAGAGCTGCTGGCGGTCCTTCAAGCCCACTTTGGTTCTGTACATCCTGAAGAAGAGGAAGGTAATTTCCCTGCCAGCTGCAAGAAGAGCAAACAGGTAGATGATAAAGGGCAGAGGCACCAGTAGTCACAGAAGCAACACAGGAATCTGGTCAGACTTTCAGGACTTAAATCTCAGCTCTATTAGCTGCAGTATTTGGTCAGCAACCTCATTTCTCTGAGATTAGGTTCCTTGGCTGTTAAATAAGTTAGTAAAGGTTAAACAATGTACTGCCTGTAGAGTATTGAGCATAGAGGTACAGAGAAATGGCTCAAATCACACTAGCCAACAGTAGAACTTCTCTTTATCAGCTGTTCTTCTCTGCCAAACTATCCACCTGCGATTTTTATTCTTTATTGCTATACCAGAATCTTCCATTTCTTCTGTTAATAAAACACTGGCTAATGTTTGCAATAGGTAAGACAGCTGCTATTGCCAGATGTCTAGAGACCACTGTTCCCACCAGCTGAACTGTTACGTTTACTAATGTCAGCTTCGTTCATTCTTAAAACATATCTTAAGGCAACTGAGCTTGTTAAAGTATCTAATTTAATTAGACAGTAAGTCAAAATATGAGGGCAAAAGAGCTACTGTTGCAATGAAAACTAAATAAGTTGAATGCTTTGGAAAGATTCAAAGATGAACTCCTTAATAAAATATTGACAAACAGAATACGGCCAAAATGATAAAAGTCAAGAAAATGGAAAAATCTCAAGGATTATGCAGTTAGATTGATTTACAAGTGTCTAAGTTCTCCCTCGGTCTTATAAAGCAAAAGATGACGGTTTCTGGTTTACGCAAAAAAAAAAGAACTCCAATTGGTGGACATGATTAGATAACTTGATTATCAAAAATCAGTATCTGTATGTATGTGTAGGTCTGTATTGATACTGGAAGGCTGCAGGAGCTGGGGAACAGGTATAAAGAATAAAAGGCACAGACAGACAGGTAGTTGTGGCAGAGAAAACGGGAGGGAGAGCACAGGAGAGAGAAGTGAACACAGAACGAAGAGCACTGAGTGACCAGTGAACACCAGTACCTCCTGGTACTGCCCTACTTCACAGGGGTGATTCTGAAGTGGGACACGTTGTAGGAAAGGGGTGTGGAACAATGTTTTCTCACTACACAGTGCCCTCTGGAGAATTACTGAGGCCACTGATCGTAAGGATAGCTAACATTAACTGGTGTTTACCATGTTTCATCTCCCTCTAACCCTCAACAACATCTTATGAAGGAGGTCCAGTCACCTTGTTTACAGATGAGCAGGGGAAATAACTTGCCCAAAGTCTCACTAGTGCCCAGAGGAACCAGGACTAGAACGCTGGCGATCTGACTGTGTTGTTCCTAATCACTACCTTAAAAACTTAACAATAAATTAGCTAAGGATCCATCAGGCATTCAATACAGTATATAATACACATGATGTAAACAACTAATACACATTACCTCATTCAATCCATATCTAATCCTATTTTAAAGATGGGCAACCTGATGCCCGGGGAGGTTAACTCAGCCAGGATCAAACAGTTGGAAATGGCAGAGCCTGGATTCTAACCCAGGCTATTTGACCCCAGAGCCTGCGTTCTTAATGGGCTGTACTGATAGATGTTAATTACAACAGCCAACATTTATTAAGAAGTTGCCAGACATCGTGCTAAGCACTTTATAAGGTATTTAAGTATATGAAGAAGCAAATACATATAAACTCATGCTTGCATGTACAACACTAGGACGCAACATCGATGATGAAACCGACTCAAAGAGTTTAGGAAACACTGCAAGTAAAATGTGGCTGCGTAACTCGTCCAAGGTTAAAGTGGCCACTAGGATTACCCATACCAGAGCCCAGAACTTAACCGCCTCTCCGTCGTGTCTCTCCACTCACGCCAGGAGCGTACCAAGAGGTTAAAAAAAGAAAACAGAGAACGAGCCTTGCTTCTCAGCTCCCATAGAGCATTCGCTCCCTGGGCTGGTACGCGCCTAATTACTACCCACAATTTGCACCCTCAAGGACAGGAAGAACCCGACCCAGGCCTGGTTGTACCCGGAGCTGGAAGGAGGACCAGGGCAAGAACACAGACACCCCTCACTGTACGTACGTTCGGCTATCACCCTGACCTAGAGACCAACTAAGGATGGAGCGTGGGTGGGAGCGAGGCCTTCGAGGAAGAGGAGGGGTAGAGCAGGCCCAGCCTGGCAACTCAGGGCGCATGCTGCCCCGCTCACTATCGGCCCGTCCCGCCTCGCCCCGGTCCCTTCTGTAGTCCCCCTAAGGCCTCAGCCGACCGCATCAGCCACTCTCCACGCATCCCGGTCCCCCCATACCCGCTAGTCCTGCTCTCTCGGTCTCCCGCTCTCTCCTAGAAAAATGGAGGCGCGAATCCTGCCCAATCGATCGCTCCGAGTGCACATTCACTGTGGACACGCAAAGGACGTCGCGCCGAGCGCTGCGCTACGGATCGGCCCCACTCTCTCCTGCCCTTCTCGCCATCTTACTTACGGGCGCGTTGGAGAGGTCCGTTCACCTCCTCCGATTTTATCTCCTACGCGACAACTCTGATGCCAAGGGCCTGCTGTCTCACGGGCAAAGGTCAGATCTGGAGAGCACCGCGGGCGCTAGAACGGCCACGGGTGTGGCGGGCCGTTGGCTCCACCACTTCCGGGGTCTTACGGAGCAAGTGCGCTTCGTCTCTGCGTTGCCTGTGACGCAAGCCGTCGAGTTGGCCTTGAACCAATGAAAAGTCAGCGCCTCTCCAGCTCGGGCCAATCAACTTTCGGATTAGAGGGTTTAACTCCTTTTAAAATGAAAACTGAATCCTAACGGCTGAGCTCTCGGGAGGACTCGGCGGCCTCGGTCACAGGCGAGAGCCCACAGGTGCGTGGATCTGGGGCAGCTCAGTGAGGCGGGCTGACCCTGGGTGGCCTTTGAGCGGGTGGTGGGAGTAGGGCGGGCGGTGGGGCCGCGGGGCCGGCGAGGGAAGCGTCGCGGCGAGAAAGCCCACCCCCGTCCCCTGCCCCCCGTTCCCCTCTGTGCCCCCCCCCCGCTTTCCCAGCGCCCTCCTATCTGCCCCTGGGTACCGGGGCGCCCAGTAAGATTCCTCTTGGTGTTTATCAAACACTTGGAGTGAATGGGGTTGTTGAATGGCGTGGGTAGGATGGGGGTGGGGGGCCGTGGGGTGGGGGTGCTTTCTTATGAGATTCAATGAGGTACTCAGTGAGCACAGATTTTTTGCTCTTTAGGGATTTACGTTCTAATGGGAGTGGGAAAACAGACGAACTAGCAAGGTAAGTTCCAGCAGTAATGAGCATTAGGAACCGGCGGCTACTTTGGATGGACTGGGCAGGAAAGGCCCTTGTCCGGGCTGGGTGGGTGAATAACCTGGAAGAGGCCTTCCTGGGCCAGTGCTTCTCAAATCGTAGACCTTGGACTACCTTTATCGGAATTACTTGAGCGTCCTTGTTAAAAATATAGACCCACTTAACGGAGCAGAAACGCTGGGGCGTAGGACTCAGGTGTCTGTATTTTCATCAAGCTCTGCAGGTGATTCTGTTTCGTTGAAGAAACTAGCAGTCTAGCCCAGCGCATGCTAGCCATCTGCGGGTGTTGATGCAGTGCAGGGTCTGATTTGTTAAGTCTGGGGTTGGACCTGAAAGTCTCCATTTCTAACAAAAGCCCTCCTGCTGTAGATGGAGTTACTGCCCTTGGCTTTTACTGTCTCCATATCCTTAACCTTCCCTGTTCTTTGAATTAAAGGCTTTTCAGCAACATACTCACTTCCTCTCCACTCTCCTTCATCTGGGTGGACATTATTAGCAGGTTTGACAAAGGAAGGAAACATCTGAAACCTCGATGCTATGAAATCTCAGTTTTCCTATTTAGACTAGTTTGAACTGCAGGGATCTTGTGCAGGTCTTCTGGATGCGTGACTTCTGAACTTGGCTGTAGGCCAGAATCACCTGAGAGGCGGTCTTCCTGTGACTCTCCAGAATTTCTGGGTCAGAGTCTTCTTCTATATTATGGTTATTATTCTTCCTGAGAAGGAAGTATTACATTTGAGCAAACATCTGTAGCTTCTGTTGAAGACTTTTGAATAAATGTCCATAGGCCTACATGATCTCAGTCTGCTGCTTGTAATTGCTAGGAAAAGTGAAGAAAGCATTAGAGTCTGTGAAATTAATGTTTGTAAATATGGGAATATATTTCTTTTCCCTTTTTGTCTATTATTTCTAAATGATTGTTTGAAATAAGGACTCCAGCCTCTTTAGCCTGGACCCATCTTCAAGGTGGGGTTATCTGCTTGTTTGTAAAATGGATGTGAAAGTGTGGGGCTGAGACTGCTTTCTGGTTGGATTCTAGAACGTAGGGAGCACCTGAGTAAGAGAAATAGAGCTTTCTCCTTTCTTGGAGTTTATGTTCTACTTGATATGTTGTTATGCCAGACTCACAGGAAGTGATTCTAACTCGTGCGAGGAGACTTCTGAGGAGGCAACAGTGAAAAAAGTGGGACTAAGCCCTTCCTCCCCAGGAGCTTGCTTTCTTTAGAGATACCGAGCAGGTAGCTGAGTGTCTGAATCTGGAGAATCAGACAGTAAACAAGTACAAATAACGTTATGTAAGGTGTTAAGTAAGGTCCATGAAGAAAAATAAAAGGAGAGATGACCTGAAAGGGGACAGACATCTCAGCATGAATGAAATGAAGGAGATGAAGGAGCAAGCCACACTTCTGTTATGGGGAAGAGCCTCACAGGGAGAGGGAACAGGAAGTGCAAAGGCCCTGTGGCAGGGGACTTCTCTGCCAGGGAAATGGAGGGGCCCTGTGTGGCTGGTGTGCCTTAGACAAGATGAGGAGGTAAGGTCAGAGGGGTGGTCAGGGTCTACATTCTATGAGACTTTGTAGGCCTGTCTGCAAGTAGGATTTTGAATTTGAGTTGAGGAACCATGAGGGGCCTCTGGACCAAGGACCACTATATCTGACTTGTTAATGGGATCACTGGGCACAGTGTTGCAGATGGACCATAATGGGGCAAGGGTGGAAGCTGAGTGACCCTTGGGGGCCTTTTGCAAATAATTGAGGGGAGAGAGAATTGTGGTTTGACCAGCTGGGAGCAGTGAAGGTTGTGAGCAGTGATTTTGAAGATAGAGCCTATAAGGTATGCTGATGGATGAGATATGGGGTTTGAGGCAGAACCGAGTAAAAGACTTTGCTAAGACCTCGGACTTGAACAACTGGCAGGATGGGTTTTCCATCAGCTGAGAAGAGACAGCCTGAGAGAAGAGGTTTGGGGAGATGGCGGTATGGAGGGAGCAGGACCACAGTTTGGGACTTACTACATGTGAGATGCCCCTCAGATTACCAGTGGTAGGAGTTTAGAGAAGCCCAGGCTAGAGATGGAAATTTGGGGGTCGTCAGCCTGTGCGTGGTACTGAGAGCTGGGAGACTGGATGAGTTCTGTTAGGGGGTGAATGTAGTTGGAAAAGTGATTCTGGGCCTGAGCTCAGTGTCCCCATGGCAGAGGGGAAAAGGAGTGTGGAGGAGAGAGGTTTCATTTGGTGTTGTGTTTGGGCTGCGATGACTGGCAGGCCCTTTTAGGGGATTCTGAACAGGTTGTTAGGTAGCCAGTCTGGTAGTCAGAGGACCAGGTAGGGCAGAAGATGCAAATTCAGGTTATCTTAAGACGTTAAGACCCTGGTGGTGGGTGTGGGGCCTTAGGAAGGTGTAGATGAAGTGGATGTGTGTGGGGGGTCCAAGGACCGATTCCGGCATCACCCCAGGCACTCAGATTGGTGGAAAACTGATCCAGCAAAGGAGGGAGGTTGGGATGGGACAGCTAGTAAGGTGGGAGACAAATCTTCCAGCTCATCGAAGAAAGGATTGGGAGAGAGTGAGTGACCACGGAATGCCGGGAATGCAAGAAGAAGGGGGAGAATTGGACTTCGGATTTGGCAACTTTAGGGGCCAGGCGTGAGCCTGACCTGTTTGTGAGGATAAAAGCCCCGCGGGAGTGAGCTTGAGGCAGGGTGAGGGAGGTAGTAGAGGTGACTGTTCAGAGCTTTGCTGTTGAAAGGGGAGGTGGGAAGTGTGGTTATAGACTGAGTCAGTTGAGGATAAAGAGGCAGCAGGTATGGAAGCAGGCTTGGTACACTGATGGAAGTGATCGTCAGAGAGATGGTAGAGTGGAGGCCGAGGCAGCTCCGGATCGCAGTTTGAGTGGCCGGGAAAGCGGGATATGCAGTGTACCAGGGGAGAAGTTGATGATGTGGGGAGGCCCCACACCTGAACTTGGTATCACAGGAAAACACTGCTCCCTTCTCAGACTCATTTGGGTGGCAAAATGTGTAAAATCCTTTGTGATGTTGAGGTTTTTAAATCAGAATTTCTAACTGTGATCCAGCATGATGCTTTGAAGCAAATGAATTTTTATAAATTAAAGGTGGTTCTTGTTTCTTTCCAGGCATCATGGACAAATGTAAAGAAAACTGCATTTTGGGGCCTAAGGTAAATCGAATAATCTGTAACCTCAAATTATATCCATAAAACCCAAAAGGAGATTGGTTCTATATCTGGAAATTCTTTTCACCTTTACTTTGGGTTGTAACTTTAGATCCCTCTGCCACAGTCCTAGATAGGAATTAGTCATTTTTCTCAGCATTCAGTAACACCTGATTCTCTCAGTGTAACTTTTATTTTGCTCTGCTTTGTTTTATAGTTAGCCGTTTAAGTATCTGTATTACCCCATAACATGCAGGATAATAATATATACAATAGGGGCCTAATACTTGCTTGTACTTCTTGCTTGGCAGAAGTTAATTTCTTTGCCGTAGTTGGTTTGGTCATGATGCAGAGGACTGTGAAGCAGCATTTTAGCGAGCATTTCCTGGGAGTCCACTCTGAGCCGGGTTCTGGGTCAGGTGCAGGAATCCAGTGGTGAAAAGCACATGGCCTTTGACTTTAAAGAACTTGGAGCCTTTTGGGGGAGATGTGTGAGCCAATACCATGCTATATATACACAGCCTGAGTAATTCCGAGGTGGGTGCTCAGTTCAGGTTTGGATGGCTTCGGACCCAGGAAGACTTCCCCGAGGAAAGACCATCTGGCTCCTAGCATTTGATGAATATTTGTGGAGCAGATGGATAGATGAGTCTCTTATATAAAAAGATCCTTTAATGTAAGTAATCCCTGGGTGTTTTTCCTTGTAGGAAATTGAAAGAATATAAATATTGTTGTTTTTTTTTTTTGAGGGGAGGGGCTTGTTTTTAGAAATCTTCATCTTGGAATAAATGGATACTTACCGCCCCCCCTTTTTTTTTACTGGTTAAAAGTATAAAAATGACCAACTAGAAAAAGGCCAACTATTCACTGTATTTGATTCTCAATTTCTATGATAAAGATCATTTTTAAAAATTGCTATGTTTTTAACATGCTTGTCACTGCCTGAATGCCTCCTGTGTTGCAGATGCTGCTAATTTTAGAAGTAATTTTTTTTACTTGAAAGTTGGAAACCCTCTCTTGTAAAGCAGTCCTACCAGTGAGCTGGTGATGGATTCTGAGATTTCTCTTCCAGCATTGTTTCCTCATTTAGGGGAGATTTCCTCCATTGTTGGAAGAAGTCACCCCCTTTGATTAGCTCAGGGTGTTAGAACTAACTTTTTTTTTTTTGGTAGTGGGTAGGTAATTAGGTTTGTTTATTTATTAAATGGAGGTAGTGAGGATTGAACCCAGGACCTCACGCATGCTAGGCATGTACTCTACCACTGAGCTGTACCCTCTCCCCATGAGTTAACTATTTTTAAAACGTGTGATATCCGATTTACAGGCATAGAAATAATATATTTTGGTAGTCATTTTTTGAAGCACCTACATTTGTTTTCTCTTTTGCCTTGGATCCATTTTGTAAGCACATGAAAATGGATACACTACTAAATCAGTAGTAATTAGTTTTTTTGTGGAAAAACTGGCAAATACAAATATTTAGACTGTCTTCCAAAACTTCACTCAAATATTTTGATGTGTTTCTTTCAGTTTTTTTCTAAACATTACATATTGTCAAAAAAATTTCAATGGAATTGAGATTTTCATATAAAGTTTATGAATTGCAGCTTTTTCTAAATAATTTGCAAGTCATTGAGAATTCTTAGAAAATGTTTAATGCCTCCATTTTTTAGATGAAAGCTTAGTTAATGAACATTGTTTATGGGACCATGGTTTTTAGGGGTGGGGTGTCGGGGATGGGTAGGAGGTGGAGGTACCATTCAGGTGTAGTAGCTGCATCCTCTGGAAGTGCTGATCACAGTCTTTCCCCTTCCATCTTTATTATTACCAGTGAGTGACATTTATTATTTTATTTTGCTGGTGAATAAACTTTTGAAATAAATTCAAAATATTCAGCTTTTGTTCATGAAGACCATAAAGTCCATTTTTCCTTCCCATCTAGACTACAGTTCCACTTGGTGATGGTCCAAAACGTGTTCCGGTGACTCAACAATTTCCTTCTCAGAATCCGGTATCTGCAAACAGTGGCCAGGCTCAGCGGGTCTTATGTCCTTCAAATTCTGCCCAGCGTGTTCCTTCACAAGCGCAGAAGCTTGTGTCCAGCCATAAACCAGGACAGAATCTGAAGCAGAAGCAGTCGCAGGCAGCCAGTGTCCCTCGTCCTGTCTCCAGGCCGCTGGGTAATACCCAAAAGAGTGAGCAGCCCCAGCCACCAGCACCTGGTAAGTCAGCGTTTTGAGACTTGCTGGATAGCCCTTCTTTTTAGTTGCTAAAAAAGCAAATGTAGACATGTTTGTTGTTTGGAACCCTAACTTTTGCATCATTTCTATTGAGGATGGGGAGAAGATTTGATGTCCGGATAAAGTAACGATGTCTCCTGCGGGCCAGGCCTGATTCCCACCCTCAGGGAAGAGTTGGGCGGGCAGGGAGCACACAGCACCCTCCCTGCCTTCTTTGATTGCTTACTGCTGGGTGGCGGGGGTAGGGTGCTTGTAGCAGGTGTACTTGGAACTGAAAAATCCCATGGTTCTGAAGTGTGGACGCAACGGTTGGGGGCTGGGGGAGTAGATGGACTGAGGCAGGCCGGGCACAGTCCTGGTGGACGCTGCTGGCTGTGTTGAGTGGGGCTTCATTCCCTGTGTGTTGAAGCTACGGAAAAGTTTTTGAGCAGAGGAGGGAGTGACTTGCCTTTTACAGAAAGCTTACCTCGGTGTGTGGAATGAACTGGAGAGGAGCCGTGCTGGACCCAGGGGTACCAGATGGGAGGGAGACCATTGTAGTTCAGGTTAAATACGGCAGTGATCTGAACTAGGTGGAGCAGGGTGGATGGTAACAGTTGCTATTTACCAGCTCACACACAGCAGGCTCCCTTCATCCACATTGTCTCATACTGTCCTTGTAACCCCTCTATGAAGGCAGCCATAGTTTTTAACTCAGTTTTGCAGAGGAGGAAGCTAAGACTCAGAAGCATTAACTTGTTCAAAGATGTAGCCAGAATGGAGAGGTGCAGACAAATTTGAGTGCTCACTTAGGATGCTGACTTGACGGAACTGGATGATAAAGTGAACATAGGGATGGTGGTTATATGATGGCATTGAATGAGATAGTGAACCACGGAGGGGAAGGTGTAGGCCTGAATTCAAATACCTGAGCAGAGCAAACTGTGCTGCTGCTGTTAGAGTTTGAAGTGCTGGACATAGACAAGTGGAAATGTCCCATATAATTTCTTCTCGGTAACTAATACAGTGGCGGGATGGTGGTGGTTGGCTCATGTAGCAGGTGGACAGCGGGCTGGCCTACCTACTGAGGAGAAGGTGACCGGGTGGGAGCTTGTGATGGATGGGAAGATTGTACGTCTGCCTTAGTAGCTCTTAAGAACCTGAGGCTTCAGGGACAATCTGTGTAGTCTCGAGTCTTTAAATTACCTGAGAGCCTTTAAATTACCTGAGGGCCTAAATGTATGTATCTGCTTGTCTTTACTCTCGAAATTCTATAAAGACTTCACATGGCGGGAGTCAGGTTACCCGTATGATAATCATTTTCTTTTTCTTTTTTTTTTTAATAAACTGAAAATAGCCCAGATCTATCATTCTAGACATACCATTACTATTTTGGTGACCATTCTTTGATTCACCTCTATTCAAAGGCTTTTAACTTATTCTGTATAGTTATTCTAAAAACAGGTTTTTAACTTATTCTGTCTAGGAACTAATCCTGAAAAGGAAGTGGCATCAAAACAGAAAAATGAAGAATCAAAAAAGTAAGCGTTATCTTATTTACAAAGTTCTATACCATCGTCCTATTGGAAGACACCATTTAGTTGTAAATTTAGTTATGAGAACATTAAAAAAAATAGGCTTCTGTATTTTCACTTAGAAAATATACTTGTTTCAAATTACCAATCTTTAAAAAAGAGAGAAAGTTTTATTGATGGATGTTTACTAGGGACTCTAATTTTTCTTGTTGCTTTTCAAATTTAGAAAAGGCTTGTATGAATCTATTACAGAAATGTGTAAAGTGGCAGTTCCTCTCTATCCTTGAAAGTAACTACTCCATATGGTTTATGTATGCTTCTATACGTTCTTCTATTCCAATAAAGTGCAAGTTTTGTTTTAAAAAAAAAACAAAATGCAGTCATTTGCTATAGACACATGCACAACTATGAGCATTTTGGAAGTATTAATAGAATTATTGTACTTGTTCTTCATAGTAAAGCTTGGCTATAGTATTTTCCCCAGAAATGTTCTGGGCGCCTGCTTTCGGTCTCTGAACTGTGTGGACTCTAAGATGCATCCGGTGGAGCCAGGAGGGAACCCACAGCCTTTCCTGCTCTCGCTGCCTGACAGAGGCCGTCTGAGAGTCTGCATCCTACAGTTCTCGCTCCAGTGCCCTATGGGGTCCAGCCCACTTGCTTTACCAGAGTGGTTCTCCACCCCAGAGAGTGTTGGCATCTCTGGAGGAGGCTGTGGTTGGTCTGAAAGAGGCTCACAGAGGGCGCTGAAGCGTTCTTCCCTCTCCAGTTTCTCGGCTAATCCTTGGTGTTGTCCTAAGTGTTGTTCCGAGGTCTGGGCTCCAGAGCGTAATAGTGTCTTGGGACGCTTCCCGGTGAGGGCTTCCGCTCTAAACATCCAGATCGTTCCTTGTTACAGACTCATTCAGCTGACGGCTGTTGGGGACAGAGGGCTTCATGTTTGTGGTGACGCGTTAATTGTGGCTATTGGCTTGGGTCTTGCAGAGGGGATGTACGGAATACAACTTTAAATATAAAATTACAGGACGTTTACTACTTACTAATACAAATATACTAAGTATTAGAAAAGATGTTTTCTTCACTTTTTAAAATGTTCAATTCTTTTCTAGGAGGCAGTGGGCCTTGGAAGATTTTGAAATTGGTCGTCCACTGGGTAAAGGAAAGTTTGGTAATGTTTATTTGGCAAGAGAAAAACAAAGCAAGTTTATCCTGGCTCTGAAAGTATTATTTAAAGCTCAACTAGAGAAAGCAGGCGTTGAGCATCAGCTGAGAAGAGAAGTAGAAATACAGTCCCACCTTAGGTAAGTCTCAGACTGACGTTGAGAAGAGTGGTGTACAGAACTTAGCTACTGAGAATTGGACCATCACAAACGCCTTTGTAGAAGGCTGGCCTCATAGTCCTGCAAAGAGTGATTAAGTTTGTATGCTGTGGTCCTGAAAGATTGTTTTAAGGTTTGCTTTGTAGTGGAGTAATTTACAGGACGTGTTTTTGCTTTCTTTTGGTGGATAGTTAAAGGGAACAGTCCCTCTTAATCTGAGTTCAGGTTACAAACTGCTTGCAGGTTGACTTTGGCCAGTGGGTCTTTTTTTTTCCCTCCCCCACCGTCTCAGGCTGTGCCCAGCTGCCCGGTGCTCAGCAGCACACCCACTGCCGTTGCCGTTGCTTCTGTGTCCGTCTCAGGTGTTTGGGTGTCAAACTACCATGGGAATGCCGTGTCTTTTTTTTTTTTTTTTTTTTCAATTTACAGAGACTTAATATTTAGCTGAACTCTTTCCCCCTAAGAATAAAGATGGCCTAAAGGAAGGAAATAGTCTTAACTAAACCTGAGTTCCATTAATACTTTGAAATGCATGTTAATTGATACGTGATGTATTCCTTTTTCTTACAGTGAATCTATAGTTTCAAATTCTCAGGTGGGTTTTGGGTGTGGGGAGTCTGTGACCAGAACCAGTTTTCACCACTGGGTTCACATGAAGGGTTTGTCTGATACTCAGTACACATTCTTGTATTGGCTGCAAAACCAGATGTCAAGAGTGTTCATCCTTCGTTGCAGGCATCCGAATATTCTCAGACTGTATGGTTATTTCCATGATGCTACCAGAGTTTACCTAATTCTGGAATATGCACCTCTTGGAGCTGTCTATAGAGAACTTCAGAAACTGTCAAAGTTTGATGAGCAGAGAACTGCTACTGTAAGTTTTCACTTACTGTCCAGATGGATTCTGTCTCCTCTATGCTTGTCCTACACAGCAATGCACCTTTCATTATAATAGAGGGAGTTTTGTATTATGGAAGGATAGCTTAATAGGATCAGATATGAAACGGAAACATCAAAATAGCTTAGGTGTACCTTTATAAACAGATAAAATCCGGTACCGAGTGGAATATTGTGGTTGGTTACCACAGCTGTTTCTGTGGAAATATAGAGAGTTGGCGTCTTTTAAAAACAAAATTATTTTGGGTGAGTTTTAGATTTACAGAATAACTGAAGATAGTACAGACTTTCTCCTATTAATACACACCTCATTTCTCCTATTAACATCTTACATTAGCATAGTACAGTTGTCATAACTAATGAACCAATATTGGTACATAACTATGAACTGAAAGCCATTCTTCATTCAGGTTTCCATAGTTTTTCTCATGATTAAATTAGGGTTGTGGGTTTTTGAGAGGAAGATCAGAGGTCAAGTGCATTCTCACATCAGGGGTTCATACTGTTAACCTGACTCATCAAGGTGGGTGTTGGCCTTGATCACTGACTGAGATGGTGTTGGTCAGTTTTCTCCAATGTGAAGTTATTCTTTTCTTCTCCCTTTTCATACTGTGTCCTTTCAAAGGAACAGCCCAAGGGGGATTATATTCCATCTCCAGTAGGGCGGAGTATCCACATAAATTATTTGGAATTCTGTACCAGAGATTTATCTCTTCTCCATTATTTATTTACTCAATCATTTATTAATGTACTTTGGGTATGATCTAAGGCTGCTTCGCTCTCGTTGGACCAGCTTTGGTCATTGGGAGCTCTTTTCACATGGTTCCTGTGTCCTTTTGGCATGTCCCCATCATTGTGGGAGTGTGTGTGTGTTTAAAAGCACTTTCTGGTTTCCTGGTGCTGTAAGGTGTCCCGGCTTCCTCTTGTACATTTCCCGTCCCAGTCCTAGAATTGGTTGTTTTCTCCAAGGAACATTTGTTCCTTTTATTGGAAAACGTTATTAGAAACTAAGATTTGGTAACTCAATATGCTCATTTCTACTGAAGTAGTATTACTTACAGGCTTTCAGCTGACAAAGAGCAAGCACATACATGTGTATAGTAATCTATGTATGTGCACGTATCGAAAAAATTTCTAGGATTTATGCATCTGTATCTATATTAAGCAAAACATGAGTGCATTATTACATGAATCATTCTGCCCTCCTCCCTTGCTCACCTGTAACCTCCCATGCCACTACTGAGAAACTTGGATTCCACCATCCGCCATCTATTTATTTATTCAATCCAGGGTGCATGTATAGTGATATCAGAATCGTTTGCTGATTGTTAAATTGTTAACTCCTGTGGGAAACAGCTATATGCATTTGAGATTCATCTGTACCTTTTCAGGGCTTGATAGCTCATTTTTAAAATTGGTGAATACTATTCCATTGTTTGGCTGTACCTTGGTTTATCTCTTCATCTATTGAAGTGCATCTTGGTTGCTTACGGTTTTTGGTCATTAGAGTAAAGCTGCTATGAACAATTGCACGCAGGTTTTTGTGGGACCTAAGTTTTCAAATCTGGGGGGAAATACCTAGGGATGTGATTGCTGGCTTGTGTGGTAAGACTGAATTTAGCTTTGTAAGCAGCTGGTAAGCTGTCTTCCAAAGTGGGTGTGCCGTCCTTGCATTCCCACCAATGAATGAACGCTCCTGTTGCTCCTCACTAGCTATTGGTGTTGTCCATCTTTTTGGATTTGTCATTCTGAAAGGTGTATAATGGCGCCTCATTGTTTTAATTTGCAGCTCTCTAATGACATACAATGTTGAGCATCTTTTCAGGTTTTATTTGCCGTCTGTATATCATCCTTGAGGTGTCTGTTGAGATCTTTGGCCCATTAAAACATTTTTGTTGTTGTCTTATTGAGCTTTAAGAGTTCTTGTGTATTTGTGATACATGTCCTTTATTTATTTAAAAAAATTTAAAATTATGAATTTTTATTTTGAGGAGGGAGGTAATTTGATTTATTTATTTTTATTGGAGGCACTGGGGATTGAACAGAGGACCTCGTGCACGCTGAACACGCACTCTACCTCTGAGCTATATCCTCCCCGCCGTGATGCATGTCCTTTATCACACATGTTTTACAAAAAAAAGTGTTCTCCCAGTCTGGCTTGTGTTTTCATTCTTTAACTGTGTCTGTCACAGGGCAGAAGTTTTTAATCTTAGCACAGCATGGCAGGTTTTTGTTTGCGCTTTTGTTTTCTCGTGGATTGTACCCTCCTCTGTTATGTGAATGAAGTTGCTGAGGAAGTTGAGTCTTAGTTTGGGCTGTTTTTGTGGAACTGGCAAATGATGGGCCTGTTGAATGGTGGTTACTTTGTTCTGTTCCTTGGTGGAGGTCTCTGGGTAGTGTGTACACTAATTTTCTTTTTGGCATTGATTTAAACGGCATTAAATTCTGGTGGTTTTACTTTTATCTTATGAAAACCCAGCACTATTGGTGAATGTGCAATAAGGCATACTATTTTAAACTTCAGTATTTGCCCTCTGGGTAAGTAGAAATCTATTTTGTTTGCTTTTTAAATATTAGCTAACTGTATTTGTTACCTTATTTAATTGGCAATTAATATTTGTAGTACTCAGTTTTCTCCAATCCAGATGGAGTTTACTTTGGTGTAAATAGCTATTTGAAAGAAAATGAAAATAAAATTAGTTCTTTCTAGATTCCTTAGTACTTTGGAGCTATATACACCTGTTTTTCTTTCCTGATTGATTAAAATAAAACTAATTCTAATATGGGAAGTGTGGAGGGAGTGGGTGCCAGAGAGCTCTGGTTTAACCAGTAGCTTCCTGTCTTGGTTTGAGCAGGGGCAGCCCGTTGCCCCCTGGAATTCTAATGTCTGTTTTTGGAGCACTGGCACCTCGACTTTGGTGTAGTAGACGAGCTTTTTCTTTGCCTGCACGTTCAGTTTATTGTGGTCTAAACTTTAGTCTCTGGCTTTTGGCTGAAAAAAATGAAAAATGTCCCTTTCTGATGATAACTTGCTTAGTAAACTTTTTTGGTGTAAAATAATGTTCAGTTCTGTATGTAATTACTTTTAGAAAACAACTGCTTCTCAAAGTTTAGCCAGAGCTGAATATATTCTTTCAGAGTCCTAAAAAACAATTTTTATTTATATGTTAAAGCAAATCCTGGACTTGCTAGGTAGATCTTTTAGTTGAAATGGAAACAAAACTAACGGAAGGACTGACTTGCGTGCTTTGAAGCTGACTGTGGGTCGCTGTGTGGTGCACCCCCAAAGGTAGCATGCTGTCTCATGTGCCAGGACGCCTGCTTTTAGTTTATTCAGGATTATTTTCTGTTGATGCTCTTAAAGAAAATTTTCAGTTTCAAACAAATCCTTTTGTTGTATATTGGCCTTGGTTTTAAAAATGGGAATGGATTGTACGTAAAAGTTTTTTAAAAAATGTTAAAAATTGTTTACAGAGCTGACTCCCTAATTTGTACCAGTTTTTAAATATTAATTCATTGCTGCTGGGTCATAAATTGCCATGTGGGGATGTAGTGATACCTCAGTGTTTCCTGTCTTCCAGTATCGCATCTGCTGTATTAGCATATAATTTAGCACAGAATAACTTGTACTTTATACTGACCACTAAATTGGTTTTTTTTTGTAGAGTCACTCATTGTATCTAGTTTTTGCTTTAAAATCTACAGAACATGTTAAAATCTATGTTGGGTTTCTTTTCAGAAAAGATGTGTAAAATTGTGTCATGTAAAATCTAAAACACAGACTTTCAATACTTTTTTTTTTTAAATAGTATATCACAGAATTGGCAAATGCCCTGTCTTACTGTCATTCAAAGAGAGTTATTCATAGAGACATTAAGCCAGAGAACCTGCTCCTTGGATCAGCTGGAGAGCTTAAGATTGCAGATTTTGGGTGGTCGGTACATGCCCCATCCTCCAGGTATGTAACTTTAGAGGTGGAACTGGTTTGGTTTAGCAAAATCCCTGGGGGCTAAGCGTGAGCTACATAGTAAACTGTAAGTGCAGATGTCGTGCTGAACTGGGGCAGGTAACTGACACACATACTTCGGAGTGATTTAGGCCTGACAGGGAACTAGTGTCTTCAAGAACACTTTTGTCCTTAGAGGCTAATGAAGGGGACAAATAAGTGAAAGATATGATAAGTATATGACAGAGGTGAAGTCTAGCAGGTGTAGAGGGGGAGTGACACCTGACTGAAGGGTGGGGTGGGGACTCCACTGCCTCCTGGGCCACAAGACAAGTCCCTGAGGGTGGCACTTGTGAAGGTCTACAGCTGAGAGCACAGTTCTTCAGGCCACTTAAAGGAACCAAAGTGGTTTGGCTGGAACTTTCAGGGTGGTGGTTAAAGATTCTTTGGTTTGCTGTTGTCAACAGAATGGTCCTTTCCTATCTCCTCTTAAAGCTAAAGCAGAGAGAGCAACCTAAGAAATAATTTAAGTGAACTTTCCAAGCAGAGCTAAAACATTTCCTCTTGTTTTTAAGTTGGGTTTAAATGAGCTTTTGAAACCATGTATGAAGTAGGGCACTTAAAAGCATACATCTATTGGTAAGAATATCAACTTTGGGGTGGGTCTTTAAAACAAAAAATTATAGCCAGATTACTTTAAAAAAAAAAAGCCAGTTAAAAAAAATTGTGTAGCGTAAAACAGATCTCACTGAGTGGGGGGACCTTCGGTTTTGTACCAGACCGCTCCTGATTGCTTCCAGCAATGCGGTGGATCTGCTGTTGCCATCCTTCTCTTTTCTTTTAAAAAAAAAAGTCTCATCTGTCATGAGTAGGAGCTGTTGGCACCTGGTGAGGCTAACAGCAATGGCTTTATGATATCACAGGGCTAAACTGTACCTTAACCTGTCCAGGGGTGTCATTCTGAGGGGAAAAATCGCTTAGCCTTTTCTGGAGAGGACATTTATGTAAACGTTGGTCACTTCACCCCGCCTCTCAAACATCAACTGTAAGAGCTCCCGGGGTATTGTGCCATCGTCTGAGAACCCCTGATACGGTCTGCCTCCTGAATCTCCGTGGTGAAGTAGAGGCTGGATGTCTGGAGGTAGCTCCTTAACCCTATGTCCCCATGCACAGCTGATGTAAAACAGCAAAACCTGCACAGGCTTGGCTCCTGGTTTGATGTCTGCTACCCGGAGCATACTTCCCACCTGTTACAAAAAACAACACACAGAGAGGCTGAATTGGTAGCTGATCGCTGTCTATCCAGTGCCTGCACTCAAAGAGTTGTTACCATTTTGCTGTATTGGCTGTGTCAACTTTTTTGGTGAACCTTCAAAAATAAGTCACAGGTATCATGCTTCGTCCTTCAGCATGCATGTCCTAAAAACAAGGACACTGTCATCGTACATAATCACAATCATTATCATGCCTAAGGAAATCAACAACCTTGTTAATATCTAATATCTAGTCCATGTTCAAATTTTCCCAGTTGTCCACAAAATTTTACAGTAGTAATACTTTAAATATCTTAGATCATTTAAGGAAGTTCTGGAGTTGGACAGATTTGGGGTACAGCTTGACTGCTAGCTGTGAGACCTTGTGCATCTCCCTGTCTAAAACGGGGATTTATCACAGCGCCTGCTTCACAACACAGTCTAGCCTAGGAGAAGCGGCCAGTCAGTGTTAGTGTGATGCTTGGTGATTTTTTAGCAGCTGAGGTAATAGAAGCAGAAGCACGTCAACCTGAGCCTGCCTCCATTTTTAGGAGAACCACCCTCTGTGGCACCCTGGACTACCTGCCCCCCGAGATGATCGAAGGCCGGATGCATGATGAGAAAGTGGATCTCTGGAGCCTGGGGGTGCTTTGCTATGAGTTTCTAGTTGGGAAGCCTCCTTTTGAGGCAAGCACATACCAAGAGACCTACCGAAGGATATCGAGGGTAAGACATGACTGGAAAGGATCCATCATTCTGGTAGAATTCCTTCCTTGCCAGCCTTACCTTTAGGCCGCAATCCAAATACTCACACTGTTCTCTCTAAGCCACGTTTTGTGCCCCTGTCACTTATCGCACTCCAGGTTGAATTCACGTTCCCTGACTTTGTACCAGAGGGAGCCAGGGACCTCATCTCGAGACTGTTGAAGCATAATCCCAGCCAGAGGCCCACCCTCAGAGAAGTACTTGAACACCCCTGGGTCACAGCGAATTCAAAACCGTCAAGTAGTCAAAAAAAAAGAATCAACCAGCAAACAACCATGAGAATCTTTTGGGGCAGAGACCCCTGCGCAGGGCTGCTGTGTGCTCTGTCCAGAGCAGCTGCTGACGCCTGTCTTCTGCTGCCTGCCTGCCTGTCCCCGAGACGCTACAGGGAACGCTGTTACTGAGCAGGCAGTGCCTCGACCTTCCCACCCAGAGTCCCAGCTCGGCAGACGTGACACCCCGGAGCCAGAGGAGCCTCAGGAATTGTGCTTGGCACCGCACTGGCTGTATAATCAGTCTGGAGGCAGTGTGCAAGTGCAGCCGCCCTACAGCGTCTGTGGAGTAAGGCGACCTTGGAAGATGGACCCGGAGCCTGGCTGTGGGGAGGTGGCCACTGGTTCCGACCTGTTGAAAAGCTGTGCAATAACCTCCCCAGTCCCTGTGTGCGTGTAACTTATCGGGTGGCCCGTCTGGTAAAGCTGTTGGAATGAACATGGGATTCTTTTAAATGTTAAAATAAAGACTTTGTGTAGACTTGCATATTTAATTCCATGGCATCCCTTTAGGACCACTCTCAGTGTCTGTCCAGCACCCCTGCCAAGCCTGGTTATCGCGTCCTCCTCCTCCACTGACCTCCGGGCTGAGAGACTGAGACGGCACACATGCTCTGTCTCCACTTGGGGACACGGGTGAGATGTGGGTCTTGGCTGTTTCTACATGTTCGGGGCTTAGGTTTTCCATGGTTTTGATGTTTTGTTAATGTACTTTACAAAAGCTTTATATATAAAGACATATAGAAAACAATTACGCTTTTTAAAAGTTCTCATGTGTGCAACCTTGTAATGACAGTGTGTTTCCCAGGAGTTCACATTCCACCCTTTGGGCGATGCTGGGCCAAGCCTGGGACTAGGTGGGGAGGAAGGCCCCCGGGGTGGTGCTGTTGGGGCTGGCCTGGCCGGTGCACACCATCCATCCACTGCTTCACGTCAGCCATCTGTACAACCTGGTAGGGTGGCCACTGGCTGGGGGGTGGGTGATAAGAGTTCAGCAAGCAGGCAAATTGTGGTGAGTAATCAGGAGGTGGTACCAGCAGCTGAGTTAGGCCTGAAGGATGGGAAGGATTTAAAGGTTGGAGGCCAGTGTGGCAAGAGTTCCTCGCAGCCTGAGGAGGGACAGCAGGAAATGTGGCACAGAAACGGGGAGCTGTGGCTATGTGACTGGAGATGGAGGTGCCCCAGGAGGGGGGGTGAGGGCAATCAGCACCCGCCCTCCATCCTGCAAACTGTCCCACGTGCCCACTGAGCTCTAGTCCCTGTTTTTGGCAGGGGACGTTCAGTGTCATGCACAACCACAGCCCAGCCTGTGGAACGGGTCCTTATCCTGGGGAATGAGCTGATCAACTAGCAATACTGCCCAGAAGTGCGTGCTCCTGGCATGGCGTTGGAGCCGAGTGGGGACTCGGGGTGTCCATGAGGGCTGCAGGTGGTCAGGCCAGACAAAGAGGAGGAGTCGGGCATCCACACTCACACCTGCCCACCCCTGGGCTCTGACCGTGCTCTTGACAGGATGGGAAAGAGCCGCACAGATGCGGGGTACCAGTTCTCTGCAAACTGATTTTCCAAGTGTGGCCTTGGTCTTGATTCTCTGGTGAAGGAATGTTGGCTTAACTGGAACTCCTCCTCCCCAGCCGTACCAGGATCTGGGGCAACTTGTGTTGCCTTGGCTTATAAAGAAGACTACGGCCCCTTCTGTACAGCTGGCAGAGGCCTCCCTTCCTCCCTGTCACCTGGCTCCTGTGGGACACAGTGGAGTTGTGGTATTTGAGTAAACTTTAAACCTGAGTCCACAAGTCCACCTGGCTGGGGTACAGAGGTGATTCTTTTCACCATCTGCTCACTCGGCCTAGATGGGAGCAGGTGCCATGGGGGAGTAGGTCTGTCCCTATGTGCTCCTATTGTGTAAACCTACCTATTTGTTTCTAGCTGTCAACATCTCATCAACCAAAGATGGTGAACCTGACAATGGTGAAGGCAAAGGTATAAGTGTTGACCTTACTGAGAACTCACAGAGGAAGACATGGCCAACTTTCAATACAAGAGGCATATAGATAACAGAAATGTTTAAATATAAGGACGTGGCTATAAACTCCCATGGCAAAGTTGATGAAATAGTCACGGAAATTTCAAGACACAACTGAGTAAAACTGCAGTGTCCAGATGGCTCCCTTTTGGTTCCCACGGCCTTGTGTGTTCACATCCCAAAGTAGTAGTATTTCACATCCTATCCAGCCCAGCTATGGTCAACGCGACGTAGCTAACTTCACCAGTGATACTAGCGAACTGTCATTTCCCCAAACAGAATCCCACACGAGCAGAGAAGGGAGCTCGCTGTGCTGCCACAACATTAATAAACTGGTCACACACTGTCCTGCTTCAGAATCAGCAACAGTGACGGCTTACCAGAAGAGTAAAAAGATGTCTGTTCTGCAGAATTTACGCTGCTCAGTTTGTCAGATAAAAAATTAGATGTGAACAATGGCTTACATTTTTAAAATAGATCAGTTTTATTCCCCTAGTTCCATAAAAACAACATAAATACAAGCAATTTGTACATCTTGCTGGTGAATTCACATAAATGCTCTCTCGTTCCCTGAACCTTTGATTTCCTCATCCTCTCCAGTTTCTCTGTCCTGCTTTGACCACAGGCCACGAGCGGAGTGGAGGTGGGGCCCAGAAAAGAATGCTATGGCTATTTGGTATAATCTGTCTTATTGCTTGCCCTTTCAGTCCACTCACATTACTCTGAACATAGAATCAAAAGTGTAAGATTTAAGCCCTAAACTTGTAGGAATCCCTGTCGGCTTCTTTGCATAGGCATTACCTGGGATCTGAACGGTAGGGAGATCGGTGTGCAAAGTGGTTAGGAGCCCAAAGCCAACTGTTTACATAGAGACAACCAACCCGAGAGTGCCGGGCCTGACCACACGAGGAATTACCTAGCTAGCACTGGGGTCAGCATCTTGCTCCGCTGTGTAGGCATCCTTGGAATCAGACCCCAGAAAGGCAGTTTCAACTTTAACTCACTGAAACCTTTTGGCAATGTGCTAATTGCTTTAAAAGAGGGAAAAATACGGTTCCACTTGAAAGATCTTGCAAGTGGAGAATTTGTCCACAGGTGCTCATAAAAGCTAACTGAAATAACTGACTGATATGGGCTACTAAGAGCCACCTAGGCAGCTGTCAGCAGACAGATCTCAGCAAGACCAGGCCCATCAGTTTATAGTTCCTGTAGTTTTGTGATTGTCGCAAATGTAATTAATCAAACCAAAAAAAAAAAAAGGAACTGGGAGCCAGAAAGATGAAACAGCCCCTCATCCCTGGCTGCAGGGCCTAGCTGGTTACGTGGAGAGGATGGCCCAGGACGCACAGCCCGGGGGCACAGCCCGGAGGGCAGCAGTCGGGTGCTGAATGCCCCAGGAAGGCTGCCTGCTCCTGGCTATTTCAAGAAGAAAGTCTTCATTCGGGTCTGTGTGTTTGATTTTCTATTATAGCTAGAGTCCCTGACAGGGAACGAGGGGCCTCAGGTCACACAAGCTTTATCTGGAAGACTGGCTCCATCCCTCCCCGGCTTGTATCACTAGGCATTTGCCTCCCATTTACAGCAAGTGCGCCAGATTTTTACTTTTTAGGGAGTGATACAAATTTTTTTTACATACATAATTTTAACTCAGTTAAAAAAAATATAAGGAGCAACACAATGTAAACATTGTGACAGCAGTTCTGGAATGTCTTAAGTCTGAGATCCAAAGATTGTCTCAGCTTTCCGTATGCAAGGCTCCAGCCAGTGCCGTTACTGTGGGACAGAGTTTCCACATTTTACCTCAACAGAGACATGACTCCGACCTACTTTAATGGGATTTGGGAAAAACCAGCTGAGGTAGGCGCCATCATGTCCAGATTTGAAGGTGTTTTGGGGTCAATGAAACACACCAATGATACTTGTTTTTTGTTTTGGGTGTGATGAATGTCAAAGCGCTGATGCTGACTCAGATCCTGATTATGCACTGTCACATATTAAATTCTGCTTCCTTAATTGAACACTAGCAGCTGTTTTGCAGAATATTGCATATTAAACCGCAGGCAGCCTGACAACAAATATTGGAGGAAGGGGAATTTTAAAAACCTAAAAGCTTAATGAATTGTTGCCCTTTAAGAACTGGAACAAAGATTAGCCCCTGAGGCTTTTGCAGGCAGACCTCCCTCACCAAGATGACCTTCCCATTTCCTGGCTGACAGCTTTGAGATGACACCTCACTGGTGATGTTTTGCTGACATCTCAGATTATGCAGACAAGCCCTATGATGAATAGCATTAGTAAAAGTTAAAACCAGAAAGAATGCAATTAATTGAAACCCTGAATTTTTGCTGGCAAAAGTAAAACCAAAGTTCTCTCTCCATGAGAACGAAGCAATTAGCCCCTGCCCCCACCCACCAAAAAACCTACACCCTAACACCAATCTAAAATGTGTAATTTAAAAGAAATAGGTTTTCAGGCCCACAGTTGAACAGTTCATCAAGGCTTTGCAGCTGGAGGTTTAAAAAATCCCACTTTCCGAAAATATCTGACAATCAAGGGCACAGAAACCAAGGTGATGCTGATTCTCACGGGTGCGAACAGCTTGTGGATGGCGTAGGCCACCACGAAGGTGCTTGTGCCCGCCGCCATCTTCGACTGTACCAGGGACTCTTTGAACCCGAGTTTAAGCAGGATGGCTGACATGTCCACACCACTGGAGTGAGGAGGCAAACAGACAAAGATAAAAAGCGTTTACTACAACAAAGGATTAAGTTAAAGCAATCAGTTTGGCTTTAAGAGTTACAGTATTTTTCAAAATGTGATGAAAGTAGCTAGATAAAGTCTCAGGAAAAAAAGTTCTTATTTACAAACAAAAACCAAGTATCTGTTACTGCCAGCAGTCTTACCTTGAAACCACCATGTAAAACATGCCCAAGGAGATTAACGACAGGCCGATGTGCAGCGACACGCCAACGGCACCATATTCTTGAAAAATCTTTTTCAGCTGCTGTGACTTGCTTAACTTTTCCCCCTCTGTACTGTTGATGTCTCCGCCTGTTGTCACAGTGATTTTTCTGGGGTCCTGCGCACAAACCAAAGAAGGGGAGGCACACTGGGGAAGGAGCGAGGGGGTTAGTGGTCACCAGCGGCTTTCAGACGCACGCGGTGTCCTACTCTCTCCTGTCCTCCTCATCAGCTGGGGCTAATGCCCGCTTAGCCACTAAGGGCAGTGAAAGACTGGGCGTGATAGGCAGATCATGGCCCCAATGATGTCTAGGGCCTAGGCTCCCGAACCCGTGAACATGCTACTTTACGTGGCAAAAGGATTTTGTAGGCGTGATTAAGGATCTTGAGATGGGCAAGTCACCCTGGATTTTCCGAGTGGGGCCAACATAATCACAAGGGTCCTTGTAAGAGGAGAGGGAGACAGGAGGGTCAGAGAAGCAGATGTGAGGACAGAGGCAGAGCCAGGTCTGCAGAAACTTGTACTCTGAGGCAGAGGAAAGGGCCACGGACCAAGGAATGCAGGTGCTTCTAGAAGCCAGAAGGACAGGAAGTGGACTCTCCCCGACAGTCACTGGAAGGAACCTGCCGTGCCAACACATGACTTTAGCCCTGGGGGACCCACTTTGGGCTTCCGGCTTCCAGGACTGTAAGATAACAAATGTGTGTTGTTTTATGCCACCAGGTTTGTGGTAACCTGTTGCAGTAGCCATCGGAACAAAACCCCAGGGCTCCTGCCCTTAGGGGCAACGATGATGCTTGCTGAGCATGTTCTCTGAGCCAGGCGTTGCTCGATGCTTCTCTGCCTTCATCCTCACAACGACCTCTGGGTAGACGCAGCCACTCTTCCCCCTCCACAGAGGAGAGGAGCAGCGCGGGCTCAGAGGGGCCAAGGATTTGGCCCAAAGGCACTAAGACTAGAACCCTGGTGGCCTGGTCCTCAGCCTGAGCACGTGACAGCCCAGCGAGACTCAGTAAAACAAGGCAGTGGGTGCAAAATAAAACGGAGCACAAGCTATATTTACTTCTGGAAGCAAGGTTTATCCCTGAGAGCTGAGTGGGTAAAGGGAGGGTGAGTCCCCGAGCCATCAATACCGCGGCCGGGGTGAGTACAGAAATGATTCGTTGCGTGTGGCGTCTGTTAACATTTATGGAGCACCTACAAGGTCAGGAATGCTTGGGAGCAACAAAAACAACAACGTTGGATTAAAAAGACAAAACACAACTCCTAAACATGGAGAGTGCCCTTTTGGGCAGAAGAGTTCTTCAGCTCTAACGACGAGCCCCAGGGCCTCTCGCAGGCGGTATCTGGGTCAGTCGGCTCCGGGGACTGACTCTGCAGTGGGAAGGCTTCTTGTATTTTTAGCACATGCTGCAGTGAGCCACGCTCCAAAGGCCAGAGCAGGGAGCACGTGGCCTGGATTCCCCAGGAGAACGGGGCAGGACTCCCCAGGAATGAAAATGAAGTGATAGAGGCGCCCAGAGCAGCAGACTCCAAACTCAACAAGGGAGGGGGTCCTTCCAGACCCCTGCTTCGGGAGCTCCTGCTGAGTGGGCGGTAGCTGGGACCAGGCTCATCTAGGGGGGAGGCCCCAGATGCTGCCTTTCTCAGGAGCTCCCAGGGGGCCTGGATGCTGCTGGTCCATTTGTCTAGGTCTAGGCACCCAGCCTCTGACCATAGAGATCTGGGGTGAAGCCTGGGCACTGGGATGCGATATCCGTTCCATGGGCGCTTCGAAGTGATCAGCCAGGGTTGCCAGGTAAAGCCCCGCTCGCTTGGTACTCCTGCCTCCCCTGCCCTGCTCCTTCTGCCCTTCGCAGACTCTCCAGGTGGACTTCCCTCCTCCTCAGATGCACATGCCCTGCAACAGACTGAAGGGACTCCTGCCAGCACTTCCTAAGCTGGAAACACAACCTTCACCTCCAAGAGGCCTTCCTGGACCGCCTCACAGCTGCCTGCCCTCCGCTGTCACATCACCCACTTCCCTCTCTGAGGTTTCCATCTTCAGGACCGTCCTGCTTATAATGCAACAAGTATAACAAATACACATAACAGATAATATGAGCGTTCTTTGCTTGTTTGCTGTTGGCCAGAGGCCTGGAACGTGTGCTTCCTGAGAGCAGAAACCTGCTCCCTCTCGCCTGGCTCTCAGCACTCGGAGGGTGAAGGGACAGTCTCTGGCAAATGTCTTGAGGGGGAGGCATCCAGAAGTGTCGAGATGGAGTGCACGTACTAGGATGTGATGAACAGTTTTAAGTGCAGCATGTCCCTTTCCTCCCCAGGGCATACTTCCACTGCCTCCCGTCCTGCCTACCCGCGTCTCATCCCCCCATCGCATGCCAGGCTCACACCGTATCCTTCATCCCTTGCGCTCATCTGCATTGTCCCCGGAGCCAGCGGCCCTGGTGGCCCACCCGTGCCCCGCAATCCTCAGGGCTTGGGCGGACACCCTGTCAGAGCCCGCTGCCCCGCCTTCCACGCGGGCGGGCGGCTACTGCTGTCTGCCTCCTGCCTCCTTTACCCCCTAATGTGACTGTTTCTTTTTTTGACAACACTTGGACCAGAACTCCCAAGCGATTCTTGCCCAAGCTGTGGGCGGGAACGTGAGACCCCATCCAAGGGCCTGGGCCGGTCCTTGTCGAGGGGCTGACCCTACAGAGCAGGAGACAGGTCTACCGACCAGAGGGGTGCACCCGAGAGAGGCTGGGCTGAGTGGGTTTGGGGGAAGCTGCTTCAGGACAGAACCAGCGAGTAGGTGGCTGCTGGGTTTCCTCTCTGGTCACCCCATGTGTCCACACAGGGAAGACACTGGGAGCAAGGGGTCTAAACCCTGGCATGACCTCAGCTGGGGCCCTTCTGACGTCCCACTCTGGCTGGTGACTCCCAGACGTGTATCCCCTGGAGATGTACATGGCGAGAAGACGCTGGCTGTGAACCAGGAGGCGGGCCCTCAGCAGACACTGGATCTGCGGGTGTCCCCATCGTGGACTTCCGGCCTCCAGGACTGGAAGAAATGAGTGTTTGTTGTTTAAGCTGCCCAGTCTATGGTATTTTTGTAATAGCGGCCTGCAGACTACAGCAACTTTTTTCATTCATCATCATGTTTTCAAGGTTCATCCACAGTGCAGTAGGTATCAAACGTCATTCCTCTTTATGAAGAATTTGATTCAACTGAAATACAAGGTACAGATTCTAAAATTCACTTTGCAGGGCAAGCTGGGAGCCATGGCACATTTCACCCGACAAAGAATGTCTGCTCTGTCTGGGAGCACGGCTGTTCCTGGTAACCTCCGGGCCAGCGTCTCAGCTGGTTCCATGCAGGACTAGGGCCCGGCTCTGGACTAGCCGTCAGAGTGATGAAGACGCACCGTGGGAGCTGTATGTACGCAGAAGACAAGGCACAAGAGCAGACTATCCGATTGTCCCCAGAGAAGCTGGGGCTCCCTGAGGGGCCACATTCCGGGCATGGCGAGAAGGGGGTGGAACTCAGTCTTGGATTAAAATTTGCCCAGGATCATCCTTGATTTTTAATCATACACAACAGCTACTCATTTGCCCCTCCTCCCCCAAAAGTTGGCACAAAACTCAGATTTATTACTTAAAAAGAGTCTTTTCATTACCTCTGAATTGAAAGAGCATCTCTTTTGTTCCCAAACTGCAGCTGGGACTGAAAAACAAACAAACAAAACCCCAGGACACCTGGAAGCCTTGGTCCTGGAATTAAATCTCAGTTTCATTAAAGGCTGCTCAGTCTCTTGGAATTAAGTGTTAAGGCCCCAGAACTAGGGACAAACTCTAGTTCCTCGCTGCCTTGAGCTTTGACTTCTGTGGGGTTTTTTTTGAATTATGAAAACAAATGCTTAAAAAGGGGGAGAGGCTACTGAAACCAAGTATTGGGGTACCGGGTCCCTGAGGCTGATTCTGATAGACAGGAAAGATTTTTGGAAAGATTTTAGGAAAACCACCGGCGTCCTTAGGAGAGGCCCCTTCTGTTGACCCGGGCACTGGGCTGAGCGCTTTAAAGGTGTCATCTCAGAACCCTCACAGCCCGTGATGTAGGCACCTCTGTCGCTCCCACTTTGACAGACGGGAGACTGAGGCTCCGGGAGGAGCTGTGTGCTGGCAGCGCCCAGACGGGGTTCTGTTCTGACCACCTAGACTGCGAAATCATGATGTCCCCCAGGAGCTGAACGTCCCTAAAGGAAGAGCCTGCCCCAGAACTGCAAGGCTCCCGATGGGGGAAGGGAAGCTAATCAGTCTCCTTTTGCTGGGTCAGCACCCACGCCCTCCCCGCCCACCAGCCAGAGGGCCGCTGGGAGCCGAGGTTCTTTCTGATAAACAGGCCCCGCCCACCTTTTGGCCCCGGAGGCGGCGGTGCAGATGGGAGAACCGCCAGGCGCCGATGCGAGGAGTCTATCCACCAAGTGCCAAACAACGTCCTGGGGCCGATGATGGGTGACCCCACCCTTGACGATGGCCCAGCCAAACTTCATTTCCCCCATCGGTCCCCTCAGAAGGACTGGGTGTAGCTGCCTCTCTCTCGAGAGCCCTTTTCTGTGTGGCCTCTATTTCGGCAAAAGGCCTTTAGCCAAAAAAAGAAAAATAAAAAGGCTGCCAGGCTTCCAGCTACAGAATAACCAGTATCTGATTTCAAAACAATGGGAGGGACAAAATACTCAAACACAATGGACAATTTCCTGTCTGCTGGTGCCGCGGTTGGTTTTTAACTTTCTAGAGTTAGAATCTTATATGGACAATTTCTTCTTTTCATCTTGGTAAAAGGAAATCTCTTTAGGCATTATGAGTCATGCATTTTTCTTCCTAACACTGGAGGAGACTAACAAGGCAAAAATAAAGGAATTTTGAGGGGGGTGACTTACAATGAATGGAAACTTTTAAGACATTCATTTCTTCATGAAATATCGCCTTACATACGTACCTGTGATGTATGCTTAGGCACTTCCCTGAATGCATATCACATCGCACCTGCTCTAGTGTCTCCACTAGATCTATAGAGTACTTTCATATGCTTCTGTGTGCGCGCATGCGTGTGATGCCTATCCCCATATTTATTAAGGTACAGAAGGGGCAGGAAGGTTTGAGGAATGAGCCAAAAATCTTGCTCACAAATTGCTCAGATTGTTTGAAGTGACACCTGTTTTCATTCATTCAATAAATAATAATAAACACTATATTGTGTTTACTTTGCATCAAACACTGTTCTGAGTACTTTGAAAATTTATATTAATATTTATATAATCCTCACAACAACCCTGTGAAGTAGGCAATACTGTTATGTCTACTTAAGTTCAGAGAGGTTAAGTAACTCTCTGAGAATCACACAGGGGTTACTGATCAGAACTGGGATCCAAACCAGTCGAGCGTGGTTCCAAGGCTTTTGTTCATAACAGCTGTGCTGTGTTCCTCACTTATTCATGTCTGCTCTGTGCTGGGCACTGCTCAAAATGTGGGGGACAGAACAGTGAACCAAACAGACAAAACCCACTCTCGGGGAGCCTATGGTCTAGTGGGAGGGGAGGGGCAATAAACAAAAGAGGAAGACATCAGGGCTGCTGATGTGACAACTGCTGTGGGCAAATGCCAAGAATGGGGCAGGAGGCAGAGTGGAGGTGGACTGGGAGAGCTGCTGCCAGTTTAATCAATAAGGTCATCAGGTAAGAGTTCCCTGAAAAGGCAGCGAGTGAGTGAAAACTGGTGGAGATGGGGAGGGCGCTGGGGCTGAGAGAGCAAGCCGTCTGCTATTTCCCTTCTGGAAGTGGTAAGTGTAGGCAGGTTAGGTTGCTTTGCCAGGTGACCTGACACTGAATCAGGTTAAGTGAAAAAGGCACACAGGTTTCTCCTGTGTCTTTACCTCCTCCCTCCTCTCCGTTACAGCAGAAACTCCTTGGTGGGTGTGTCCCTCTGGCACTTAATTAAATGCCTAGTACATTTGGGGACTCCAGCTGGGCACTGTACTTCCTCCCCCTAAAGACCAAAAATGAGGTGCCTGAGGGTAGCCAGAAACAGCCAGCAGCGGAGACAGCGCTCCACCTGCTGCCAGGCCCCATGGGGGAAGTGTTTTCTCAGAGAGATGAGTATCTTTTGTCCTAACTTCCTGTAGGATAGTGATCCCGCAGGGGTCCCACCCGTCTGACAGAGAAGAGGAGAAACAGCACAGCCCTGGGGCCCTAGGACTATGTATTCCCTGTGATGACAATACTGACTGATGCCGGGTATGCACATTATCTCATTTTACGCTCACACCCTGATAAGTGAATTATTAACACCCCATTTTACAGATGAGGAAACTGAGATGCAGAGAAGTGAGGAATTTGATAGAGACACAGAACTAGTGAGTAGAGAGAGGGATGTGGGGAATCTGAGACCACACTCATCACCACTGGATAATACACCTACCACTCGCACACACACACACCTGTCAGTGCCAGGCTGACAGGGCAGACAGGCAAGTCAGGAGAACATTCCAGATGATGAGCACAGAGAAAATCCATACCCCTGGGGCTGAGCGGGCCAATGGAGGCACCCAAGGCAACCCTGGTAGGCAGGGAAAGCTTCTGGAAGGAAGGGACAGCTGGGCTGATCCACGAAGAATCACCAGGAGACAACCAGGTGTGGGCGGAGAGTGCTGCACCCCGACGGTCCCCAAACTGGGCTCGGGAGGTAGAGACAAGATCTACCACCTGTCAGATGGGGTAGCCGAAGGCAGGGAAGAAGTTTCTCCATCGTGGGGGAGGCATGGTAAGAGCATGGGTCAAAAGCCTATGGAACATTCAGGAAGCACTGGCTCCCGCTGGCATTGTGCTAAGGCCCAAATCAGCTCATGGAATTGTCCCCCAAACTACTGTGGGGAAGGTGCTGTTTTTAGCCCTCTTAAAGGTCAGCACACAGGCTCAGAGGCCTTCAGCACTTGGAGTGATGTCACACTGCTGGTGAGTGGATGGTCGCAGGCAAAAGGACGAAAGGGTGCAAAGCTCGAGGCACTGCTTGTCTCAACTTGTTAGTCCTGGATCTCCAGACTTCACTGCTCACTGCTGTTTTCCTTTAAGGAGGCCCACTTAAAAGCAAAACAAAACTGTAACCGATATTTTTAAAAAGGTTAGTCTGCATGACCATTCTGAATGGCAACCCATTTTCACTTATCATACATAGAAGGAAACCGAAGTGAAACACAATGAAATAACACTGCGTTTCTTTTGCGAGTCTTGCCTTAAGTCTGACGGGAAGGCCCGCTCTTCGGGTTACATAAAAGGGAGTGGCAGCGAGTGCTGGGAAGTATTAAAGACAGCAGCACCCACGGAGCCTCTCCTCCGCCCCGCATGACTTCTAAAGGGAACAACTCTAACGGCCAGTTGAGAACGCTGATACCGAGTCCAGGCCCCACCTCCTATTCTCTCGGCTACCACCACAGTACCGGCCGGACCCCTTGGGAACCTAGGGACCTGCCGGAGACTGTGACCTTGGGCAGATCGCCGTACCTCCCTGAGCCTCAGTTTCCCAGGCTGTCAACTGGGAGGATCGCTTCCTTGGTTTGTAGAGATAAGGGACCGTGGAGATGTTCGGTCTCGGGCAGCTGCGCGTGCAAAACTCTCCTTCGGTGGAGGTAGACGGGCGAGTTGGGGCACCCGAGGG